TTCTGTCTTACAAATCCAGCTAGACCAGAGCATGTACACTGGCACAGATAAGAGCTGGAAACACAGGGAATACAGGACAGATAAACCCCTCATGAACAGTAATAGGAGTAGCAATATCATGAGCATAGGGGGGAGAAAGGGGGAACTGATTGAAGTGATTGACATATAACCCTCCATGCCCCCCAGGGGGGATGAACAACAAACTTGGGTGAAGGGAGACAGTGGTGTAAGGTATGAAAATAACAATAGCTTATAATTTATCAAGGGTTCACAAGGGTGAGAGGGTAGGGGCGGGAGGTAAAAAGGAGTTGATACTAAGGACTCAAATAGAAAAAGTTTTGAAAAGGATGATGGCAACATATGTACAAATATGCCTGATACAATGGATGTATGGATTGTTATAAGAGCTGTTGAGTCCCCAATAAAATGATATATTAAAATTAATTAATGTTTCCAAGAATGGAATTGCAGATTTGACCAATGTATTAAGTGTAATGGAGAGTACTTTGAAGGTGATATGGTTTTGTAAAACAATTTAATGCAGGGGTGAGGAATGATTTTCGAGGGGTTTTTTGAGCAACCCCTCATGTGCTCTGTCACACTCTTTACTTTTTCCACTACGTTCTAAGATTTGTTGCAATGGCCACACAGAACTCAGACAATAGTCATGATAAAATGGTGTATTAAGGAATGTAACAAACACAGTTGTTCATCAGGACAAGTTTCAAAGTCCATTTGGGGCTGCTAAAATGCTCAAAGAGCATGCCACTGTGTTGTACGCCTCAGCCTGAAGGTATTCAGCTCAAGCTCAGTGGGTCAGCAAACCCAGCATTCTCAGTTAGATACCCAGGGATCCCCATTCCATAAACCAGCCTCCTGCTCCAAATCACCCAGTCTCTTTGCTTTGTGGGCTAGATAGTCCACCACTCTGTTTCGTGCTCTGGCTCTTGGTTCTGCTGCTGTTCCTTTGGTACCACACCTGTCTTCTGGATATTAGGACATTCACTTCATAGAGATCTTGGGGTCTAGAGGATGATATTCACTCCTGGTTCTTATTGGTAATGAGATTTCCCTCCTCCTGCTTCTCAGAGGGCTCATTTGATAACCAGCAGTTGGCTATCACAATGTTTTCTGTTTGCATTTACCCACAGGTGAATCCTATCAGTGTTTTCCTCTGCCTTTCCCCCCAGAACCATGCAGGAAAAGGTTTTCTGGTGGGATTTAAAAAGATTTTAGCTAGAAAAGCCAAATTAAATTCATCACTATCCTTATAAAACTGCACGCACGCACGCTTGAAGAACAGTTCAGGCACAAGCCAGCCAGATGCAGGATCCAGAGCAAGGGAGCAAAACACCTAGAAGTGAAAGCAGGTCTAGCTTGCTTTAAAACAACCACACTGCTGTCTGGAAGAACTACCCCTGTGGGTTTCCAACACTGTAAGCCTTCATGGGAGTGGAAGGCTTCATCTTTCTGCCACAGAGTGGCTGGTGGTTTCAAACTACTGGCTTTGGGGTTAGTAGCCTAAGACATAACTCACTATGCTACCAGGGATCCTTGCTTGCTTAGCCAAGCCCAAAAGCATGCTGAGACTCACATCAAGATGACTAATAAGAAGATAGGTGGTTAAGCAAGATGTGAAAATTATTGAACAAGATCATTAATATCACATGCAAGTAGAGTTTTGCTAAAGATGGTTTAACAATGGTTGAAGTGGTACATTGGTAGGGATCTACCTGAAATTTAAGTTAGACTCAGAAGAGGACCTGGAAAGTGGTTTATCATTGCTGATGTCTGATGGACCTTTGTTGAAAGCAGAAAATACTAGGAAGATGCTTTTGTGTTTTATTGACTATGCGAACGTATTCAACTGTGTGAATCATAACAAACCGGATTATATTGAGAATAGAAATTGCATTGTGCTCATGTGGGGCCGGTTCATGCAACAGGAGGCAGTTGTATGAACAAAACAAATAATATGAGAACCTGGTCTATATGAAGAAGAGCTCAAACTTGCCATCAGGGTTGGAGGAAGGCTTGTTAACAGGCTGCAATATGCAGATGACACAACCTTGCTTGCTTAAAGCATGGAAAACTTGAAGCTCTTGAAAATCAAGGATTGCAGTCTTCAGTGTGGATTTGAACTCACTGTAAAGAAAACCAAAATCCTCACCACTGCACTAAGTTTCAACCTCATGACAAACTGAAAAGTTTGAAGTTGTCAAAGATTTATTTTGCTTGGATCCACAATCAGTGTTCTACCTCTTGGTCACACATGGAGCTTTATCATAATTATTTTTATTTGTTATTTCACTTGTTAGTGACGAAGTTGAGAATCTCTTCCTTTTGGATGGACCATTTTATGAGGGGGCTTCAGAAAAATGGAATTAAAAGGTGCCTTTTTCCCCACAAATGTTTTGAAGCTTCTTATTTCCATTCCTGTGAAATTCCTGTTCATGATTGTTGCTCATTTTCTGTTGTGATGTTTGGGGATGTGACTTTTTTTTAAAGTAGGATGTTAATTGCATAGTTGAATTAAATATTTGAGTCTGTTCTTGGTTTTAGGGCACGCTTATATAAAGGTGAATAAGATGTGTAACTTCAAGTTTAATTTGCATTTAGTAAACGTGATTGTTATTGTGTGCCTTCAGGTTAATTTTGACTCATAATGGCCCACGTGACAGAGGAAGTGCTCCATAGGGTCTTCCTAGCTGCCTTCATTATGGGAGCAGACTGCCATGTCGTTCTTTTGTAGAGCCACTGGGTGAATTAAAATAGACAGCCTTTCAAAAGGCAGCCAACCCTTTAGCCATAGCTCCCCCAGAGCTCCTTAATATGCTTAAACTTACTTAATTGGAGCTCCAAATGTCTCTCTCTTCCATTCAAATATAGATTAGCTACATGAATCATTTTTAACTTTACCTCTCTGCTTTCTTATTGAACGAGACCTTGGATTATTAGGTAATATGTAATGTCCTGTTTAATGATTCCTCATGGTGCTGTGGAATAAACATTGGGCTGCAAACTGCAAGGTCGGCAGGTAAAACCACCAGCTGCTTCTCGGGAGAAGGAAGCGGGCAATCTGCTGTCGGTAGTTAGTCTTGGCAACTTGAGGAACGGTTCTCCTCTGTCTCGTCGAATCGCTGTGAGTGGGACTCGACTCAGTGGCAGAGGATTTGTAATTATGCTGTGTTTTAGAATTCATCCCTTCAATGTTTTCTGTTTTTCTGAAACTAGAGAGAAGGTGGTTTTATTGTGGTGGTAATTAAAGCAATGATTTTTTTTTCATTTCATTAAAAACTGTTAGATCTAGTTCTTGTAAGGTGTGGTTATTCAAACGTTACCTTAGTGTTACTTAAATGACTTCTCTTCCTAGAGTGATATTGTTACCTTTTATTTAAAGAATTTTAAATACTGTCAAGTTTTATAAACTCAATCCTAATGTGTATGAAATCTTTTTTCTCAGAGTGAAGATACACAACAACAAATCATCAGGGAGACATTCCATTTGGTATCTAAGAGAGATGAAAATGTTTGTAATTTCCTAGAAGGAGGATTGTAAGTAAAGCATTTCATAGATATTTCTAGTCTTTGACTATATGATTAAGATAAACCAAAACCCAAACTCACTGCCATTGAGCTGATGCAAACTCATAGTGACCCCATCAGATTGGGTAGAACTGCCCCTGTGGGTGTCCGAGACTGTAACTCTTTACAGGAGCCCCTTCTTTCTCCTGCATAACTGCCTGGTGGTTTTGAACTGCTGACCTTGCTGTTTGCAGCCCAATGCATAACCACTATGCCACAAGGGTCTCTTATGGTTAAGATTGGTACTAGTTAATTAATTTGAAGTAAAAGTTTCCTAATTTTGATTGTTTTGAATAGATGAAGTATTTAATATAAGAAGTCATCATGGCATAGTGGGTTGTGCTCTGGGATGCTAACTACAAGGTTAGCAATTTGAACCCCTCACCAGTTGCTTCCCTAAGATATACAGCCTCAAAAACTCATAGGGGCACTTCTGTTTTGTCCACACAGTCTCTGTGACTACATGGCAGTCAGTGAGTGTTGGTGGCAAACAGCCTTGATGGCACCACAGGAGAAAGATGAAGTTGTCTGCCCCTGTAAAGATTTATAGCCTCAGAAATCCTCCATAATAGGGTCTCTCTTAATGAGTTGTGATGTAACTTAGGCAATATCTTTTTCAGATATGCAGCATTTTTTTGTCTTATACAAATTTTTTTTTCTTATACAAATTTTATAATGGCATTTATATAAAGGAAATATATTCAGATAATAAAAATTCAATCATTACAGGAAAGTATAAATGTAAAATAATTCTCCCTCTCCCAATCTTAGTCCTTAAATTCTTAGTT